CTCTCATTTGCACATTGAATCACAATTTTTATAAAGTAATTGACATCAGTCAATGATTCACTGTTAAAATGTTATGTTATATAACAATTTAAAGTATTAAAATGTTATGTGAGCGCATGTCAAAAAGTTAATGAAAATATGTAAATATATTCATCATAGCATATATACTTAATTAGAATATTTTGGTTAATTTATTTAATCGATATGTCCATTAAGTTTTTTTTATGGGCACATATAAAATTTATAGCAACTTATGTCTTCACAATTAATATATATATAGCTTTTTCTTTTGTAAGCAATTTTCCGCCCGATTGGATTATCAATCACGGTGGATTATTTTAATTAAAGTTTGGTTGACAAAAAAAATTAATATATATAGGATAGAATAAGATGTGAATAGATTTTTGAAAAACAAATTATAAATCAACAAGAATAAATTATCATATACAACGCCGTATAAATATACGAATAGGTATTTAGATTAATTGCTTGGTTGTATATGTATTACTATGAAAAAATAGAAACGTCGGTCTCATTTAGAAGAAGGATCACTGTAGAAGAGACGGCATGTGAGGTTTAAGCTCCTCGGCACCGATGAATTCTACTGCAGCCACGTCTATATTTGTTAGCCTGTTCACGAGGTTTATTAATAGAATTGTGAGGATGACATCCCGCCGGAGGATTAGGACGATGGCACGCGCTAAACACGTGTGGTTTTAAATACTTCCGGGCTTGCTGAGCTTCTGATTGCTCCACAATCGTAGCAACACAAATCACCAACAACAATATTACCCATGCCTTCATGTTTTGGTATCGTCCAATATGTTGATCCTTCTTGTTGTTTTCTTGTTTGCTTTTTTGTTTGATTGTGAATTAGGTGAAAAGTGGGTTCATATATAGAGAGCTTAGAACAAACACTAATTTTAGCTAATCCATATCTGGCAAAACCACAACCTAAACTAGACATGTTAAAATAGAACTTTGGAAGATTGTTCCAGATTGTTTTCGGTTTTTATTCCATGTTTTAGTAGTCAATATATACCATGTGTGATATGATTTTATTTGGAATATGAAAATTTAAATCAATTACGGACAGTAGTTTTAACCGGAAAAAATATTTTATGGTAAAAAATACAAAAAAATATGTTGAATATTATTACCTCCTTTAATCAGGGAGACTTCCTTTTGAAGAAATTTGTAAAAATATTCTCAAAATTTTATGTATTTTGAAAAGTAACTCATGTTTTAAATCTTTTGAAAATTAAAATTTTTAAAACTAAAATTACCCTAATTAGGTCAATCTTATAACTTGTTTTTAGTAATAAAAATCAAAAACGAACATGGTCGTCATTTTATTTTAGTGTGTGTTTTGAAATAAAAATAAAATTATCATTTTAACATAATTGACATAAAAAATTGAAAACAGATGATCACATAAGCTTAAATCTTAATATTTGATATAATGCTATTATTAAGCTTCTTATAAGATTTTAAAAGAAACTATCAATTGTGTTATTCAGTTTCATGATATATAAATCAAATATCTTACAAGTAATTGTATAAAGTTATACCTAAACTTACGTTATAAAAGAAAAGTACAGTGCAAAAAAGCTCATTTAAAATTGTCATGCATAAAATATGTAACCAAATGAAAGCCAAATATAAGAAAGTGTACATTCTAATATAACCATGGCTACAAATGATTATATAATGATAAAGTTAAGAATATATTTCGGTAAATACGTGTATAAAGCCAAGGGAATCCCCATTTTTTTGTCATTTTCCTAATTATCATTAAATTTTTTGTTATGCAGCAAATTAACCTTTTTAATAATATTTTTATATATCTAAATATGAACATAAATTTAGTAAAAAAAAAGACATATCACAACGTATATNTTAAATATATATATTTATTAAAATTCAGGTTAATTTCGAACATTATTTTTCAATTTTCAAAATTTGAAAAAGAAAATGCATTTTTAATTGTAAATTCTCAAACTTACCATGATATTATTGTCTTTTTATTCAACAATAAAGTTATCTTTCAAAAAAATTAAGATAAGGGTTAGTTTTCAAATTTTATAAAAAAAATTGGAATATTAAACCACATCTCCCTCTTTTAAGGTAATTAAAAACTTGTCTTTTTTTATACAACTAGCTAAAGTTATTAGTTGTATATGTAATTTAGCAGTGTTCAAGAAAATGTTAGCCACTAAACAGGTGGTGATCCATACCTATTTCTTAAAACGTTTCATCAGAGTCTAGGCGATCTAAACGTTTTAG